GCTCTGTGTGTATATATATATATATATATATATATATATATACTGTATAATGTAATGTAATGTAATGATGTGATCACCTGTCTGTCTGTCTTTCAGGGCTATCACAGGCCGAATCACTACATCGCTACACAAGGTAAGAGCCTCTGTGTGTGTGTGTGTGTGTGTGTGTGTGTGGAGGCAGATGCCCAGAGTCTACTGGGTCTTATTTGGTTAGATTGAGTGTGTGTGTGTGTGTGTGTGTGTGTGTTGAGCTGCCCTTCACGTCTCCTGAGCGATTAATCAGGTCTGGCTGCGATGGGCGGCACACGGGTGGCATATTAAATAAATGGATTAACAGAAGTGTGTTTGTCACTCGTCTAATCTGGCCTGCTGAGGGCCGGCGGTGGCGGCAGAGACGCGCTCATGAGTTAAAGCTGATGGATGAGTGTGTGTGTGTGTGTGTGTGTGTGTGTGTGTGTGTGTGAGGTCTCTGATGCCGTCTCAATCTGCCGGTGTGGTGTGGGGAGTTGCATAATTACCTGTTTATTAGAGCATTGCATGCTGCTCTCCTCCGTGTCTCAATTAAAACACACTTACACACAAAGACACACACACACACACACACGTGCTCGAGGTTTCTCTGCATACTAACACATCCATCACACTCTCTTCCAGTGTCTCAAATATCTTCAGAGGGCTTTACTGCCACAACTGTTTTACAGACAAAATCTGCAATGCATCTTAAATATGTACAATTATATTTTTGGATTATTAACTATATTTTATCTGTTTTAAATGTGTTTTAATATTTGAACTATACATTTAGATATTTTGAGACTTATGATTTTAATTTATTTAAACATATATTCAAAATCTAAAGAGTTTTAAAAACTACCTTTTATAAGTTCATAAGTTTGGGGTTTGTAATATGTTTTAATGTTTTTGAAAGAAAACTCTTCTGCTCTTCTGCTCACCAATGCTGCATTTATTTGATCAAAAATACAGTAAAAATTGTGAAATATTACATACATTTTAAAATTCTGAAACTGTAATTTATTTCTGTGATGCGCAGCTGTATTATATATATATATATATATATATATATATATATTTGCAGCTTCGAGCAGATCTCTCAGTGGCTCTCAGGTTCTTCTGCGCCTGAGGTTTCATCTGTGCTGCCTGAAGCGTTCCCTCGTCTTCCTCTTCTCTAATTCCCTCTGTCTCTCTGTCACTCCATCATTAAACGTGTTGCATCTTTAAATGTGAGGCAGTAACAGCTGTAACGAATGCATGGCATCAGACTGATTTCATAAAGGACTTCAGGATGGGTTTATGAGCCGACAGGAGCTGGACTTCAGCATCAGGATTCTCTGAGAGCTGCAGCCATACATAATTCATCATCTTCATTCTGAGCTTGACATGAGAGACAGACAGACAGGAGTGAAGCGTGGGAACAGAAGCGGTCCTGAGCCGCAGCCCTGGGGTCGAGGTGTGAGACGTACCTGGAGAAACCCAGGGCTGATGGGAGATTTTTACCTCTGTGCGCTTGTGAGAGAATAATGTATGAACACTGTCACTGTCGAGAGATCTGACCGGATAAATGACCATCACTTTACCCAATGAGAAGAAAAGCTTCCTCTTCTGCTGCAGGAGAGAGACGAGTTCAGCTGAAGTATAATGTTGTCATTTACTCAAAAATACTGAAACCTGAACTAATACTGAAAATATTAACCGAAAGATCAGTTTTTATTATTGAAATCAGGAGTGTCAGAATCAGAATGAGTAGTTTGTGCATTAAAAATGTCCGTTAAAACCAGCACATGCTAAACAATGTTCACTAACCGAGCGAAACTTTTTAACTGGATTGGCGTTTATTGTCTTTAGCATGCTGTGTAAAGTATTTCACTCAGTTCCCTGATCATTTTGATTCTGTTTCAGCGAGTGAAGAGCAAATTGACACTCACTCGCGCAGTGTTGGGTATAGTAACTGATTATATGTAATCTGGATTACGTCCAAAAATGAAGTACTTGTAATTAGTTTATATTACATTTTGAAATACTCAAAATCAGATTGCAGTTACACTCAGAAAGTCTTTACGTTTTATGTACATTAACTCAAAACCAATCATTAGTCAGGTGGCTATAATTACACAGAAAACTGAGACCCACACATTTCAGATCATTTTGATTTTAAAAAGTGTTTTCTCAGCATTTCAACATCGCATCAACTACTGATGACCACATTATTGTTTATTTGAATTGTCACTCGGTAAGTAATTTAACCATGTATTATATGTCTTTGGAAGCACTTTATTTTTTTAGTAAGTGTACACACTCACACTCACTCTCACACTCACTCTCACTTTATGTGTGATTTATTAGCTTGTTTACCCGTGGGGACCTCAATTTAGGTCCCCACCGTGACACGAGTCCCCACGAGTCTGTGTGTATTCAGGTTTAAGTCCCCACCAGAATAGAAAAACAGGTACACACTCTGGCAGTAAGTGCAGCTCTGGACTCTCAGCAGCAGCTTGAGCTCACAGTTGTTAGATCGGTGTAGGAAAACCAGTTAATCATCACTAACTCTCCCATTAGTGCGGTTAGTTAAGTCAGTTCGCACTAGTACTAGTGCTGATAGTAATGTGATAAACCTCTAGTCCTGAGTATTAGTGCAGCGTTTGTGCTCCAAATCCAATCTGATACATTACTAAGGGAACAGACACAATAACACAACCCTAGCAACCATCCAGAACACCTTAGCAACCACATAAAAACACACTGACAGTCTCAGCAGGTTGAGCAGCAGTTTCTTCTGGTTTTATTGCTCTAATTTGATGTTTAGTGACTGGTTATACTTAAAGCAGGTGAGCGACACTGCAGTGTGTGTGTTGCAAGCATGTAATATTAATGAGCACACGGAGACTTTGTGTCTATCAGTGTGTTTTATATTATGCTGTTATAGGAGAATTCAGCAGCTCTCACACACACACACACATCAGATGAGAAATGGTGGGTTTCCAGAAATGACTGTCAGCAGCTCTTGACAGCTGAAGTTTGTGATACGGGATGTGTGTGCAGTTTTTCACCCCTTTTGGCAGAATCTTCAGACTTCAGCATAAAGTTTCCTCTTGTTTTTTCTCTCTTTTTTGCTGAAACTTCTCCAATAAGTTTTAGTAGCACCTTTGTTTTCCTGGGAATGTGCAGTTGAAGATATTCTGGGAATATGAAGCACCAGGTGCGTGTCGGGAAGCGACCGTCATCAAGCGTTTGCTGTGGTTTCACGTATAAAAAGCCTCTCGATTGGAGCGAGAGAAGCTCCCTGCTGTTAGTGCTTTTAGTTATTGGCATCGGTCTGATTTGGCTAATATTAAAATCCAATAATATCAGGTCTTATTTTAGCTTGTTTTTTTCCAATGCATGTTCATGCATGTTTGATTGAAAGAATCAAAGCAAAGTAGAACTATGATTTTGCTATAATTGACATTTTTTCATCAATGTTTCATGATGTTACCACAGCATGACCCTAAACTTTATTTACAATGTTTCATTTTATTTATTTATTTATTTAATAGCATGTTTCACATTTCACATTGTTTCAGAGAAATTAATATTAATATAAAAAAATGCATTCATCCCATTTATCAGGTTAGAGCTGGACTATAAGATCGTTTGCATTTGGAGATGATAAAAACAATTAGTATTAGAATATATTTATACTTTATAAATATATTATTTATATAATATACTTTATGTGAGGTAATGCATATGTGTAAAGTTGTAATAGTTAACTGATATTAGTCATTCAGGTTGTGGTGATTATTGAGGATTATGAAATCTGTAATGTCTCGGTTTAAATAAATAACATTCTAGTGTCGTGAAAATCCTAATTACTATTGGTAACTATTAAAATAACTTAAATTGATATTTAAGATTTTAGTCATTGTAGTTTAACCAAAATTTTTTTTTGAAAATCATACTTATTTACATAATATTTGTGATGCATACTAAAATAGATACAATTGTTGCTAAGACAAATTAATTTCCTGCTTGACATATAAAAATGATTTGGAAAATATTCATATTTCATATTTAGATTTTGATAATATTTTGAATTAGATTTTTATATTTTCTGTTTTCACTTAAAATTTAGTTTTAGTAATTTTGTTGTGTTTTGTTATTTGTATCAGTTTTTTTTTTTTTAAATATGTCTATATAGTTTTTGTTAATTTTTTATTTATTACGCTTAAAAAGGTGTAGAAACTTTCACTCAGAAATGTCTAGTAAATTATACAAACAATTACAAAAATGGCAAGTTATGTTGAATTTAACATGAAATTTTGAAGTAGAAAGAATAAATTAGAACACAACAATATTTGTATTAATTTCGAAAATGTATTTATTTATTTATTTTTTTTGTAGTTTTTTATTATTATTTTTTAGCTATTTTAGTTTTGGCAACTAGTTAAAAATAAGTTCAGTTTCAGTTAATGATAATAACCCTATAACTAGAATGTTGTCAGTTTTGTTTGAGGAACACCGTTTTATTCTGTATCACCCAAGAAATCAAAAGCGACAAAATATTCAAAGCAAAACTAGCAGTATTTGATGTGTGATGCTCAGTAGGTGGCGCTGTAGAGCAGATCCAGCTTCACTGCACTGTGTGAGTCTGTAAGGAATGGCTTCGTGAACTCATCTGCTGTTGGTTCTGATGGTGAAGGATCTCGAGCAGCTTCTGTTGGAGATCATTTGCTCGTGTGAAGCAGAAGCATCTCCTCAGATGTCACGCAGACCTCTGCCGCTCTGTCCGTCAGACTGTCATGCGTGTGTGTGTGTGTGTGTGTGTGTGTGTGTGTGTGTGTG